AATACCCAGAAAAGTCTTTTTCAGCAAATTTTTCAGTTATTACGGCAGGCAAGTGAATTCTCCATTGCGTGCAATTTATTATAGTACTGTTTATACATGTATTCTGTTCGGCTCAGTGGTCTCACTGAACTAGTAACCTTATTTGATTTCAAGAACTTCAAGAAGGCGGCATAAGAGGCGTGTTTGCAAAGGTAAGTTTCCCAGTTTATTGGGGTACGATTGGTGTACATGTGACGTACGGACATGAATATTATGATGATTGCCAGCTTTATATTTGTGTGAAAAACCAAAAAAAGCAAACAATTGTCTCTAATCTATGAAATAGTTTGAGAATTGTATATCCTGTCAAATTATAGTACACGAACGATTAATTCATGAGGACATAGTTTTCAAGTACCGGTAACGATTGTTTTCCGGTCTTTTGCTTGTGTAGCGATTTCCAAAATATTCACAACTCGGGGGGGGGGGGGAATTTCCCTGTCTCGATCTATTTATTCATGATATAATAGCAGGTTGCCTATGATTATATTCGTATTTTGTATATTGTGAGCATTGAACTGTTAGTTGCAATGAAGATTTTGCCGATCTTGTGCGATTCAACATGGCGGATGTAGAGTGACAACACGTGTATGGACGGTCGGTCGAGCAGTCTGCAACGGACCACAGTCCCTCCACGAATGGACCATGAAATCGCTCGTCGTTTTTTCGGCACTCCATTTCATTCACTCCTGACGCCTAAAAGAGTCTAATTTATATTTTACCGTAGTCATTGACACCTATTCAAGAGTATCATGTTTATTGTGAATAGCGTGAATGGGTAAGCTTCGTTTCGACAATGGGCTGTTATTTCTGTGAACAATGTTAAATTATTCTTTGAATGCTCAGTTAATTTTTTGAAAACAACTAATTTTTCGATTTAAAAAAAATCATGCCGTTTTCCCCGTCGAAATCAAAGCATGAAGATCTTGCTACAACATCGGTGAATCCCATGTTGCGTTCATCACGAGGTCACTGAACCGTCATTAACATATTTAAATGAGCCACGTGTACTGAAATAACATGGCGGATATCGCATCGCATTTACATTACTTCCAATTCATAAAAATTCAACGAATTAATTTTTTGTGCGTATTATAATCATTACTGAATAATAATAAACAATTGCAATACTTCGAAAACAAGTAAGTTATTCACTTGTGAAACACAGAATGACCAGATTGTGCTACCGTGATCATTCGCTACCGGTACTAACCACTAAGCAATGTGTTCGTGTTTGTATTTATTCAAA